TGCTGGAGTGCAGTGGCGTGGTCTCAGCTCATTGCAACTCCCATCTCCCGGGTTCAAGCGATTCTCCTGCCTCAGCCTTCCAAGTAGCTGGGGTTACAGACATCTACCACCACACCCGGCTAATTTTTAGTAGAGACAGAGTTTCACCATGTTGGTCAGGCTGGTTTTGAACTCCTGACCTCAGGTGATCTATCTGCCTCAGCCTCCCAAAGTGCTGGAATTACAGATGTGAGCCACCATGCCCGGCCAAGTATTTGAAGTCTTAAGGTGACCTGAAAGTGTAAAATAAAAAGCTAGAAGCAAGAATGGAACACAGAGTGCAGAGTCAAGGGCAGATGGTGGAAGAAGAGCCTGCAAAGGAAATTGAGAAGCAAAAGTTGAGAGAGAATGGTGTCTTTACAACCAAGGAAGGAGGATAGTTGCAAGAAGGGAGTAGTCACCAGCTAAAATGGTATTTGAAAAGTGGTTACTCCTGAGGAAGGAGGGAAGGAATTAGGATAAGGACAGATGATCGAGAGGGACTTCAGCCTTATCTTAAATGTTCAATTTTTAAAAAATTAATAATGTTGCCTTTTTGTTGTTTGTGCCAGGTAAATCAGTAGATAGAGGGTAATTGTCAAAGATAATTCTAACTTACTATGATTAACTGTTGTGGAGTCTGCCATTCATTACATAAAAAGAAGAAGTGAAAGATTTGTAGACTTTCCACTTAGAATAATCTGAATCTGGATTTCTTCTTACTGATGTATTCGTTTCATGTATGTTCTTGGACTAATAATACTGGGTCTCTAGTTTATGACAGACAATATTCTGTATACTGTCTATATATTGTATTAATCCTTTATCTGTTTCTTATTACACAATATGAATCAAGAGAATATTATTTTCTCTATGTCCTTGTGCACATACATACTATTTCTGAACCTTAGTTTTGGATCCATTAAATGGGAAATGTTGCCCATCTTTAAGATTATGAGGCTTAAAGACAATGGGTACGGTAGAAGCAGCTGGTCTTGGACCCAGCACTTTATGCTTCTTAAATGTCAATTGTTAGGTACTGGCTGCTGCTCCCTTCTCTGCTTGTTCCATTTAGAGACCATTTTAACCAACTCTTTGATAATAAAGTTTTTCACAACATAAGCCACATTTTTAAGACTCAAGATGCATTTTGGGGCCAGGCATGGTGGCGCACGCCTATAATCCCAGCACTCTGGGAGGCTAAGGTGTGAGGATCTATTGAACCCAGGAGTTCAAGACCAGCCTGGGCGACAGAGCGAGAGACCCTGTCTATAAAAATAAAATAAATGTTTTTGTTTTTTTTTTGAGATGGAGTCTCGCTCTGTCACCTAGGCTGGAGTGCAGTGGTGCGATCTCGGCTCACTGCAACCTCCGCTTCCTGGGTTCAAGCGATTCTCCTGCCTCAGCCTCCCAAGTAGCTGGGACTACAGGCGCATGCCACCATGTCTGCTTAATTTTCTTTTGTGTGTGTGTGTTTTTTTAGCAGAGATGGGGTTTCACCATGTTGGCCAGGATGGTCTCGATCTGACCTCCTAATCTCCTGATCCACCTGCCTCAGCCTCCCAAAGTGTTAGGATTACAGGCGTGAGCCACTGTGCCCTTCCAAAAAAATTTTTTTTTAATTAGCTGGGTGTGGTAGCATGTACCTATAGTCCCAGCTACTCTGGAGGCTGAGGTGGTAGGATTGCTTAGGTAGGAAGATCGCTTGAGTCTGATTGAGGCTTCAGTGAGCCCTGATTGTGCCACTGCACTTCAGTCTGGGAGACAGAGTAAAGCCCTGTCTCAAAAATGTAAAAATAAAAGTAAAATATAGATGCAGTTGGGGAAAGAAAACCAACTGATATGAGTAAACAAAAGTTCATCACCATTAACAAAAAATAAAATGAATTTTGTGAATTATATACCATAGTTCTATGTTAATAACTAAAAACTAACCTGGAATATGTTTGGGAAGTTTCTGTGGGATTTCCTTGTTTCTTACTTGTGTAGCCAATAGGCATTATACATTTTTGTCTTTTTCCTGCCATTACTTGTAGTCTTTCATATCACAAAAACTGCAGCAGCATGCAGCAGTTAACAGGTTAGCTGTGAAGTTGCAAAAGTTCTTTTCTGCACAACTTAACCCCTCAGTACTTTTCTTTCTTTATTTGTTAAAATAGTTCTTATCTCTAAGGCTGTCGTGAGGAGTAACTAAGTTAATGCATATAAAATGCTTGGAACAGTGGCTGGCACATCGTATGAACTCAATAAGTATTAGATTATGCTTCTGGTTTTGTTGTTCATATTTACTGTGGGACTTTTGGCGGTTACTTAACTTCACCAAGCTTCAGTTTCCTTCTCTGTAAAATACCTACATAACTGGTTACTATAAGGATGAATAGACATGGAGTATAAAAGGGCACAGAATCCTTGTAAGTGTTAACTCATGTTACTATGACTAGCATTAGTAACAAGAAAAGTAGTGCTGGAGGTAGTGCCACTGAGAATTCTATGAAATTCTCAGTTCCATAAATTAGAATGAACAAATTGGCAATATTTAATTCTCAGCAACAGAGTAGTTAAAAGCATTGTAATTGTTGTTCATTAAATTACACTCCTTTAATTTTCAGACAGTGCTACAACAAGTAATTGAAGATGGCTCAAAATATGGATTAAAAAGTGAACTTTTCTCTGGTCTTCCCCGGAAGAAGATTGTGGTTGAATTCAGGTGAGGGTGCACCCCTTTTATGTGTTGCTTAATCAAGTTGACTGGGCAGAGGAGTGTTATTACCATCATCATTTGGGGTCTTAATAAATAACATATGGAAAACTTGAAAACCAGTGCAATTATATTATTTCTTGAAATCACAGTGAATCAATCATTGAACTATAAATAAAAACATATTTTTGGACCTCCAAAAAATGTCTTTTTTATATATATATATATTTATTCATTTATATTTAGTATTAACAGTTCCTTTTTTGGAAGAACTAGTTATTCACTTTAATAGACTCTTAAGGCAGAGGTAATGGTTACTGCCGTATTAGGAATTTTAAAGTGGCCAGGCATGGTGGCTCAGCCTGTAATCCTAGCACTTTGGAAGGCAAGGTGGGAGGATCACTTGAGGCCAAGAGTTCGAGACCAGCCTGGGCAACATAGTGAGACCCCCACCTCTTAAAAAAAAAATAGAAAAAGTAGTTGTGCATGGTATCACACTCGCGTAGTGACAGCTACTTGGGAGGCTGAGGAGGAAAGATAGCTTGAGCCTAGGAATTCAAGATTACAGTGAGCTGGGATTGTCACTGCACTCTAGCTCAGGTGAGACACACCAAGACCCTGTGTCCAACAAAAAATTTTTAAGTAATTTGATTACCAGAGAAACAAGTCTTTTAATATTTGTAATAAATGTAATTTTTAATTACCAGAAAAATAGCTTGAAGTTTTAATGTGCCTCTAAATAGTCTTCATAGAACTTTCTAACATGCTGTCAGTATAACTGTCTGGTATTTAGACTGTTTGAGGTAACGAAGAGAGAAAAGGGAACACTAAAAACTAATACTTTCATTGTACAGCTGACAGACTAGGAAATTATCAGAGATGTTGCATTTGTCTTCCTAAAGCTGAAGAACAGTCTTGATGAACTGTTTTTCTACTTAGAAAGATAGAACTTGCTAAGAGCCTTTTGTCTTAAGTATTTATGTCTGTGGAAGATTTTTAAAAATCGATATGGGAAGTATTATGTTTACTAACTCATTATTGCAGTTTATGATAATAGCCATTAAACTTAGTTATGATTAGCTCCTGTACAGTCAGTGAAAGAGCGGGTTTTATGCATGTGTACTGTCTCTGCCACTCACTTGTCTTCTTAAAGAAGACAGACCCTCTAAGACCAAACTCATGAATTTATGGTAAGGACCAATTACTGAGTAAGCTTCTGCTCCTATGGAGTAGACACTTACTATGAATGACTCTTGTACTGCAGTACACCACAATTATGATATTTAAAGTTGAGTTTAAATATTTGTTGCATCACAAAGAGTAGAGGGACTTCCTACAGTCATCCTCATACCGCAGAGGAACTACGCTAAGGCCATCTCCTAAGGAAATTTGCCTGTTTTCTCTCCTCTTGAATAAGAAACCACTGCAAACCTTAATGTAGGGATTGTTAAACCTCAGCCCATAAGCAACATCCAGTTTGCCACTTGTTTTTGCAAATAAAGTTTTGTTGGAACACAGCCATGCACATTTGTTTACATCATCTACATTGGCTGCTTTCATATTGCAGTGGCAGTTGAACAAAGTAGAGCTGAGTTGAATAGTTGTGACAGATCAGATGGTCCAAAAGCCTATTAAAGTATTTACTATCTGGCTCTTTAAGAAAAAGAATTGCCAGCTTCTGATTAGTGTCTTAAAACAACATCCATTTTGGTACTTATGACACCATGTATGAGGAAATGGGGAGAGAGGAGTATTTCAGGCCAGTGGTTCTTCTATTTGCCTGAGGTTATTTATGTAACTGGTCATCTGGAGACTATTGGGGCTAGAAATCAAAAGTGGCTCATTTACTTCTCTGGCTAGGCATCTCTGTCTCCCACCACATTGTTTCTCCAACAGAGTAGCAAGACCTCTTTACAGAGGTACTCAAGGCTCTAAGATGGTGAAAACATCTAATCTTGGAACAGGCATGGCATCATCAGTTTTGTCACTTTCTGCTGATGAAAGCAAGTCACAAGATCACCCCAGATTCAATGGAAGAAAAATAGAGTACATCTCTTAATGATGAGAGAAGCAAAGAATTTGTGATCATCTTTGATTATTTTCATTCATGTCTTTAAATTAATGGACATACTGCTTTCTTCACTGGGGAGGCACTTCATTACCATATTACTCTTAAACCCCTTTCAATTACCTAACCGGCAAGTAAAGGAAAATCAATAGGGAGACAATATATTACCTGTTGCCGTACATTCATCCTTTAAGTAATGCCATTATAAGTTTCCTAAAACTTGAAAAGTTGCCACCATTACTTACCTTCTTTTGCATTTTTTTTTTTTCCCACCTTCACCATCCTTTTACTCCAACTAAGCTCTAGAAATACTGTGGCATCAGTCTTCCTTACTCATTGATTCCCTGGCTTTCCTCTTAAGTTTTGGTTTCCCATATACTGCTCCTTTTTGTTTATGCTTTTAAGAAGTATCTAAAAATAACCTGTTCTATGCGAGTTGTATTCTGTAGGCTTTTTGTATGGCAGTTAATTTGCTTATGGATTTGCTTCTCTTAGCTTTTTTCTAAAGCAGTTAAGGAAGGCTGGAATTTAAATGAGTGTCTGAATGCTGGTGAAGGCAGAGCCTGTCTATCTCCTAGCAGCCATCTTTGCTCTCTGACAGTTTACATGTGGCATTGTTGTGAGACCATTGCTTCTCTCTCCCTTAGAGGTTTTCCAGATGCTGCAGTTCTTGCTGTTGTGATTTCAAAGTAGAGACAAAATAGGTGGAGACGGGATCAAAATTGATAGAGAACATTATTCTTGGATTCTTCTGAAAATAAGAGAGATGGGAGAAGAGAATTTTTAAAATATGTAGTATCCTGAACAGACCAAGCAACATTCCCCAGAAAGCAAGAGATATGATCACTATGCTCAAGAAACTTTCTCCCTAAATTGAGTTGATGATGATAATACTAGATTAAGTAACTTGCCCAGGTTCACAGAGCTAACTCTTGATTCTGAAACCTGTATACTTAACTTTTACTGCTTCCCTGGTACATAGTGTAGGTTGTCATATATTTTGTCTGATTTAGGAGCAGTGTGATAAAATACAAGATAAATGGCTGTCCATCATAGATTTGGACTTCCCCTAGTAGATGGTGTAAGACTTGAAGCTAACTACTGTTTCCTCTCTCCTGTCTCTCTAGTCAGCCTTTCCTATTTTGTACAGATCAACTGTGTAAGATCATGGTAAGCAGTGGTAGCCTTTTCTTTTCTTTTCTCAGCATGATTTTCCCCAGCCCCTGCTGCTCCCAAGTGTGAGACACTCTTCTAGCAAAACAGATTGGAGACCTCTGGCTGGCAAAATGAGACTTTTGAAAGTCAGGGTAGCAGTTCTGACTGTTAGTAACTGGTTCAGTGATCTTAGATGGGACAGTTGATTTCTCTGGCCTCTTATCTGGAAAATAAGTAGTTTTTTGTTTTTTTTTTTTTTTGAGACAGAGTCTTGCTTTCTCGCTCAGGCTGGAGTGCTGTGGCATGATTCACTGCAACCTCTGCGTCCCTGGTTCAAGCAATTCTCCTGCCTCAGCCTCCCCAATAGAGTAGCTGGATTACAGGCATGTGCCACCATGCCCAGCTAGTTTTTGTATTTTTAGTAGAGACAGGATTTCACCATGTTGGCCAGTCTGGTCTCAAACTCCTGACCTCAAGTGATCTGCCCACCTTGGCCTCCCAAAGTGCTAGTATTATAGACATGAGCGACCACGCCCGGCCAAGAGTGATGTTATCTGTCCCTTCTTACAAAATTAAGGAATAATTTAACAAAAGTCCCAATAAGATGCCCAGATTATAATTCATAGTAGCTACTTCAGTTGCCAAAAGAAGTGAATTTGTATTTTCCATTTTATGTATTCCCTTCTCAGTAGACATATGGTATCAGAGAGAAGCAAATTGTTGATTTCAAGGGACATTTTTTCAAAACTTGAAGACCTAGATAGATTCAATTTTTCTAATACCGGAGGGAAAATGCGAAGCGCTGAAAGGTTTTTTTTTTCTTAACAGACATTATAAATACCCAGTTTTTTAAAAATTCAGAGATTACAAAGAGATATTTAATGAAAAAGAAGGCTCTTCCCTATCTCAGTTTCCTCTGTGGGTATCTATTAATCCCAGTATCAGTGTCTTACTCACCCTCCTAGAGATGTTCTATGCATTTGTAAACGGACTATACATATTTTACATTGTTTTCACTTCTCCCCCCCCCCCAATAATGTATTTTATGTTTCTTTAATATGAATGCATCCAGGGCTGGCTTATTTTTATTGTTCCATTGTATTCTGTTCTTTTTTTTTTTTCTTAAATCAGCTTTATTGAGGGATAATTACATACAATGCTTATTTAAACATAGAATTTCACCATATTTAAACATATAATTTGATGAGTTTTGGCATAGGTATGCAAGTTGTGTAACTGCCTCCACAACTATAATATAGAGCTGTTTTTCTGGGGTTTTTTATTTCTATTGATTTTTTTGCTTTACTTTTATCTATGTCATTTTCTTTTATTCTGCTTGCTTTGGATTTAGTTTGCTCCACTTTTTCTAGTTTCTTAAAGGAGAAACTCAAGATGATTGATTCAAAACCTTTTTTCTAATATAAACATTTCGTGTTATAGATTTTTCTGCTTTAGCTATATCCAGCAAATTTACTAGTAAGGCAGCAATATGGTACAGCGCTAGGATTCCCCTTGTTTGCTCTTGTTCTCTCAAAACATCATAGTCCTTCACTGCCTGTTGTCCAGTTTCATAAAATCAGTGTTTCATCTATTTTTCTGGTTTTCTGATTATTTAAAGGCAGAAGAGTAAATCCAGTCCTCTTTTGGCTGTAAATGTAAGATTTTTTTTTAAGCCTTTAGAAGGATGTTTACTTTCTTTCTAAACAATGATTAAATAAATACCTGTGTAGTTTCATAATTTCATAATTGTGCACAAATATCGTAGGATCAAGTTTTTAAATCGTAGTACTCTTAAGGGTATATAACAAGGCTTTGGAGACAAACCAGAATTAAGCTCTAGTTTTACCACTTTTAACCAGCTATGTTCAATTTTTTTTATAATTGATAATATAAAAGATAATAATTTATCTTTTTTTAATATTGAAAAACTTATGAAATTTTCAAACATTCACAAAACAGGGAACAGTATAATTAACCCCTATATGTTCGTTACACATATTTAAGAGTCATCAAGATATTGCCACATTTGCTTCATCATCTCTCTTTGTTGTCCCAGTTCCCTCATCTGTAAAATAAAAGTTAAGAGTACCTTACCTCACAGCACATACGAGTATTAAATGAGTTAATGCCCGTGAAGTGTGTGCAGCTGTGCCTGTCAGGTAGTGAGTGCTCTGGAAGCATTTGCTATGTTAAATGATTGTTTACAACTTCTTGAGCACACATGGGAGTGATAAATGTGTTGATTGGGAATTTGGAGTGGTGAGTCACATTCCAATTGTTAGAGGTTTTATGCATAAATATTTTTCCTTTTTTTTGTTTTGTTTTGTTTTTAATTTTACAGACAGAGTCTCACTCTGTCACCCAGGCTGAAGTACAATCATCATAGTTCACTGTAACTTTGAACTCCTGGGCCCAAGCTATCCTCCTGCTTTAGCCTTCCATGTAGCTAGGACTACAAGCATGCACCACCACACCCTACTAATTTATTTTAATTATTTTTATTTTTATTTTTTTGAGACAGAGTTTTGCTCTTGTCACCCAGGCTAGAGTGCAATGAATGTCGTGATCTCGGCTCACTGCAACCTCCGCCTCCCAGGTTCAAGCCATTCTCCTGCCTCAGCCTCCCAAATAGCTGGGGTTACAGGCATGCACCACCACACCCTGCTAATTTTTTGTATTTTTACTAAAGTAAGGGTTTCACCATGTTGATCAGGATGGTCTAGAACTCCTGGCCTCAAGTGATCCATCCTCCTCGGCCTAAGAAAGTGCTGGGATTACAGGTGTGAGCCACCGCGCCCAGCTACCTGACTAGTTTTTTGAAAAAAAATTCTGTAGAGACAGTGTCTTGATATGTTGCCCAGGCTAGTCTCAAACTCCTGGCCTCAAGCAGTCTCCCCACCTCAGCCTCCCAAAGTGCTGAGAGTACAGGCGTGAGCCATTGTGCTGGGGGTATTTTTACATTTTAAAATTTTGATTTCTGATACAATAAATAGTAGCAGATATTACCCATATGAAAAATATTTCTTTGAGGCCCTCAGTGATTTTTAAGAGGGTAAAGGATTTGCACTAAACTTAGTAATTTGTGTTGGTTTTATCAATCCTTAAATGTATCTACTTCCTAAGTATACCACTTATGTGAATGCTATTAGTTCAGGAGTCACAGGATCATTTCATTAACAATGTCAAAATTTTGAGTTCTAATTTATCTTTGCTGTAAATTTTTGACTTTTAACTTATCTTTGCCCTAATACCAAAGGCTATACTCCACAATTTTGTCAAAGTATGGAGGCATGACCTAGTTGATTCTTAGAAGTCTTAATTCTTAGAATAGAGAAATAACTTTCCCCTTTTTTTTTTTTTTGCAGTTCACCTAATGTTGCCAAAAAATTTCATGTTGGACATTTGCGTTCTACCATCATAGGTAAGTGTTTAGTTTCACATAAAATACTAAACGTGCCTTTGAGGAAGTATTTGATAGTTTAATGGTTTAATGCTTAAATAACAAAAGAACAAAAAACAAAAAGTTTAAATTTATATGAGCCTTATGCTAATTCAATATTACATGAAATGGACAACGTTGGTTAATAACGATGGAAACAGAAAATTCATTTCAAAACCAAAAGATTCACTGAGAAACTAATTTTAACTGCCATCTATGTTATGATTTTTAACTTTCTAAAAGTAAGTATAAATATGGAGAAGACCTGAAAGATGCAAAAGTAAAAATAGTTATGTGGGGATATATAACCCTTCAAATTTTTTTGCTCATATATTTTGTGGTTTTTTTGTTTCCCAGGCCGGAGTGCAGTGGTGCAGTCTCAGCTCACGCAACCTCTGTCTCCCAGGTTCAAAGGATTCTCCTGCCTCAACCTCCCAAGTAGCTGGGATTACAGGCATGCGCCACCACGCCTGGCTAATTTTTGTATTTTTAGTAGAGACAGGGTTTCACCATGTTGCCCAGGCTGGTCTCGAACTCCTGACCTCAAGTTATCTGCCCACCTCGGCCTCTCAAAGTGCTGGGATTGCAGGCGTGAGCCACCACGCTCTGCCTATTCATATATTTTGTTTATATAAAATACATAACAATTTTTGTCAAAATTACAAAGTGCAAATAACAATTTTTATTAAAAATTCACCTCAGTCATGTGAGCACTTAGTGGAATGTTCAAGACTGGAAATTAGAACAAGACTATTTCTGGCCGGGTGCAGTGGCTCACACCTGTAGTCCCAGCACTTTGGGAAGCTGAAGCAGGCAGATCATTTAAGGTCAGGAGTTCAAGACCAGCCTGGCCAACATGGCAAAACCCCATCTTTACTAAAAATACAAAAAATCAGCCAGTGTGGTGGTGTGCACCTATAATCCCAGCTACTCAGGAGGCTGAGGTGGGAGAATCGCCTGAACCCGGGAGGCGGAGGTTGCAGTGAGCTGCACACCACTGCACTGTGGCCTGGGCGACAGCTGGATTCCGTCTCAAAAAACAACAAAAAAAGACTATTTCAATAAATAGAGATTACTATGTAGTACTTCATAGTTGTAATGCTTCAGTGTATAATATACTTACAATTTTCATTTATTTAGCACGTGTCATGCAGCAGGTGAATTTAAAAACTGAAATTAAAATTATATAATATTGGAATTGGAAGGGACTTTGGAGTTTATCTCAATCTAATCTCACTTCCAATGTAGAAATCTGTCCTATTGCATGCTTAAGAGAAAGTTGTTTAACCTGTACTTCAGTACTTTTCAGAATTGGAGAAATTAGTACTTGTGGAATAGATTGTTGTGGGGTCAGCTCTCATTGTTCTTGGGCAGCATTTTAAGAGAAGAAATGACAGGACTTGGTGAAAAAGTATAAGAAATATACAATGTAAGAAAAGTTATGTGAGTAAGTCAAAAGTATAGGAGTGAGTAAATGATGGGTAGGGTATGACAAAGTTGTTTTCACAGTTGAGGGAAATATTTGGACCAGTTAGAGATAATATTTGAGAACTTACCATGCTGTGTCTTCATGTATTATATAATTCAATTTTATAACAGCCCAGTTTGGTAAATACTGTTAACTCTGGTTTATGGATGAAGAAATTCAGCTACCAAAAGTAACTTTCCCAAGATTCCAAAATATTGTAGCCAGGATTTGAAATTAGGCAGTCTGATTCCAGAAGTCTAGGTTCAGATATTTAATTGGATTTGTGATATAACAAGGGGCTAAGAAGAAAAAAAATAAGAATATGCTATCTTTGTACCAGCTGGAAAAACTGGGGTTCCCATTGCTGGGACTTTATAGATTGGGAAAGTCTAGAAGTAGGGAAGCTGGAAAAGAAGATAGCTGCAGTAGTTTAAGACAGGTATGGATATTGGTGAAGCAAAAAAAAATCCATTCTTAGTAAAGGCAGGAGAGGATTTATTATAGGATATTGAATGGTTTACAAAGTTGTTGGGAGGGCTGCAGAAGCTTTGGATTAAGCTGACATAAATAACTCCCAAAACTGCACTATAGAACTTTGTCATCAAGGGAGCTCCTGCCTCTTCTGCAATCACTTCCACTGCTCTAGAACCATGCTGCCACTGCCGTGGTCAAGAAAATGCCACTACTCCTGCCATGCCGTCTAGAATCCATTCAGTCTTAAGAGGTAGCCCCATATACTTTCAGTTTCTTTGGTGGCCATCATGGAATACTAGGACCTCTGTTCATGGTGTCACATAAAAACAAAGCCTCCACAACTGTGCTTGTCATAAAAAAATAGAAGTAGCTCCCCTTCTAAATCTTACACAGACTGTCTCTGATTGCCCAAACCTAGAAGACTTCGGAACTCTAACAGAAAGAGACTCTGGGAATTGTACTTTTTAGGTTTTCAGCCTCGGCAGTAGATGAGGGCACACAAGAAGGAAAGCGGAATAGATGTTGAGTGTGAAACCAGCATCAGCAGTATGGGAAAGTGAAAGCTTTAGATTATTACATGCTGTTAGGGAGCAGGCATGCAGAGGGTAGATGTTAGTGATTAAAAGGAGATAGAATGAGCTATTTAGAAAACACAAAAAGGGAAAATACAGCAGTGAGGCTTCGGTTCTTAGGACACAGACAAATGTATTTCTTGTTAATTACTGGGATTTTTTTTTTCTCTCCTTGAAATTGACTAGAATAGCAATTACTCTAACGTGTTCTAAAATCCTATTAATAATGTTGATGAAAATTCTGTTACTGTGAAATGTGAGATTCTTTAGAATAACTGCCCTACAAGTAAATTCTTACTCCCTTTCCATAACATATATGAAAACACAATGATGAATATTTTAGTTAAAAACAATAAGTTGGTAAATTTTGTGAAAAGAATTTTTTACTTATGCTTTGATAATAGAGAAGTACGTGGTTCTTATGTCAAAAATGGATAACAAGAATGAGAAACTATACTTTATTGATTACTAGGAAATTTTATAGCAAATCTCAAAGAAGCTTTAGGACATCAAGTAATAAGAATAAATTACCTTGGCGATTGGGGCATGCAGTTTGGTAAGTACGTTTGAGATTTTATTTTTCATTTCATTGTAAAATTCAATTTTTAAAAACTTTGATCTTCTGGACAGAATATAGGCAGAATCCCATTGGATGAAGTAGTATGTCCTACCTATTTTTTTTTTCCTAATGGCTTTTGTGCATATTATCTTCTTTATTTGAGTAATTTATTTATTTGAGTAATTCTCACCACACAAGTTACCTTTGGGGAAGGTAACTTCACACATTCAAAGACGACCTGGGCCAGGCATGGTGTTTCACTCCTGTAATGCCAACATTTTGGGAGGCCAAGATGGGTGGATCACTTGAGCCCAGGAGTTTGAGACCAGCCTGAGCAACATGGTGAAACCCTGTCTTTACAAGATACAAAAAAATTAGCTGGACATGGTGGCATGCCCTTGTATTCCTAGCTGCTCGGAAGGCTGAGGTAAGAGGATCGTGTTAGCCCAGGAGGTCAAGGCTGCAGTCCGCTGAACTCCAGTGTGGGTGGCAGAGGAGGACCCTGTCTAAAAAAAAAAAAAAAAAAGAAAATTGGCTATAGATTCAGGCATAAAGTATCCCAGGAAGGTAGAAACAGACGATGAAGGAAAAGATGACTAAGACTCCAAATGACCTGCAGAAACAGGGCCGTTCAGCAGGACTGCTC